ATTCTCCTTATTTATTTCCGTTTTATTTCAAATAATAAATGTGTACAGTTTTAGGTAAAGACGTCAAACTATGCATGCAAGCTTACCACGGTTAGACTATTCTATACCGATAAATAAATAGTGAAATCAGCAAAATCATCACGCTTCACGTACACTAAAAAAAGTGTTCACGTAGCCGTACCCAACCAATATAAATGAGAAAAAGTTAAATGTTACAATAATGTCATTGTAAAAAAAAATAGTAGCTATTTGTGTTAATTAGTTAAATTTTAAAGCATTAGTGTAGACAGAAAAATACCTTAAAAAGATAGCTACCTAAATTCACAGTTATTACCGAGAGAATTGGTTAAATTTTGGCATGAATAACACGCAACTCTAGACTATATACCTTTTTTATAATTTTAAAGGTAAACATAAAGATTTATGTTAGGTTATGATAAGTGTGCAGTTGTCCGCTTTGCAAATGTAAAAACACCATCATGAACCATAGGCAGTTTGCATGTTCTCCCTGCGTTCGCGTGGGTTTCCTCTGTGTGCTCCGGTGTCCCCCACAGTCCACATGCGGTACATGTGAATTGAGTAGGCTAAATTGTCCGTAGTGTATGAATGTGTGAGAATGAGTGTTTGTGGATGTTTCCCAGGGTTGCGGCTGGAAGGGCATCCGCTGCGTAAAAACGTGCTGGATAAGTTGGCGGTTCATTCCGCTGTGGCGACCACGGGTTAATAAAGAGACTAAGCCGACAAGAATATGAATGAACGTTCTTTCTGTGTGGGATGTCTTGTGGGGGAAAACGGAGCATCCGGAAACCCACGCCAACACGAAAAAAAACATGCATCTCCACACAGAAATGCCAACTGACCCAATTCTGATCTGTCGACCAGCGACCATCTAGCTGTCCGAATTGTGCTGCGCCACCGTGACGCCTATTTATTAATTTATTTGCAAAATTACCTGTGGCTAAATTTTATTTAATAATTAAAAATTAAGATTAACGACGCTCCAGTCAAACGTTTAAATTTAAATAGCAGTTTTTTATCCAATGCATTAATTAAAGATTACAAAACAATTCTAAATGTTTTATTTAAAAATTGTAAAAACTGCTTGATTATTTAATCATTTGGTAAAATTAAATACAGATTAACACGTTAAATATTTAATTTATAACAATACTTTTTTTTTTAAAAATCACACAAAACACAAAAGTTAAGAATCATAAGTATTTAGCCTGGTCATTTATTGTAAAATATAACAATGTATATGAAACGCATATATCGGTCTTCTTGTTTACATTTAAATAAAATAAAATAGTGAAAATAATTAATTAATTTAATTGAATGTGCATTCATCTAAATTAAAGTTATTATTATTATTATTATTATTATTATTATTATTATTATTATTATTATTATTATGTCTTCACGATCTAACGAGCTACAATAACCACTTGTTTTAGAAATTTGCCTTTTTGTCCTACATCAAAGAGCATCAAAATGGAACACAAAAAAACAGCAAAAATGCAACGATCCTGAAGAGCATAAACAGCAAGCAAACCTTTTTTAAAAGACACAGGTGTTTAGTGCAAACTGCGTGAGCTCACCCTCAAGAGTAAAGGCGGGGCTCCTTACTGCATAATCAGATTGTTGTCTTAGTCTGCTACAATGACTGTATTTTTTTTTATTTCTCTTTAAAATAACTGGCTGCTAAAATATTTTAAATAAACGACAATACAACGAAATCATGTTTAAAAAACATTTTAGGGTCAATAATAGCCTCCTTGAGTTTTTTTTTTTTATTGTAACAAATCACTATAAAATGACTTAATTAATCCTACCATAACTTTACCCTATAATTAACCTATAGTTAAGTTTTTAAAGTGCACTTTAAACTGATATATTAAAAATATCTAGTATTAAAATAGTTATTAAAACTATTATGTTAGAAATGTGATATAAAGAGAGTGTCAATATATACTGACACTCTTTTTTACTGACCAGAATTCTATTGCATATAACAATTAGGAATATATATCAACATATTTTATGATGTTATTACCTTAAATTGTGATATTTTTGTTAATACAGTCTATGTGTATGAGTTAGCAGGTGGTTCAGTAGCTGCTAACTCATACTCATACATACGCTGCACCTCACTTTCACTTCGCAAACGGGAGAGCACGATTTTTTCGCAGAACTTGCTGTTTTAAAAGACAGAAACAGTTTAAACAGCCTAAACGCAGATGTTAGGCATTATTTAATATATTATTACAACATTTAATTATTTTAAGACTTTAGATGACATTGATGTTTGTAATTATTTTGAACGCATGGAATAACACTATTTTTGTACGCTAAATCCAGCACCGCCCGCTCCTTTCCCAATAATGTCAAGACACAGATGCATTGCTTACTGTCAAAGACAATATTTTTTCGTTATGACATAATTCGTTTCCTTTTTAATTTAAATATTTCATTGAAATCTAAATGTAATAAAACACATCAGCACCAAGGAAAAATCAGACGCTCAAAACATAATCTATAAAATTGCAAATATATGTCAAAAGATTGTGAGACAATACATTTGGTGAAGCATTAGGCTAATTAAATCCTCACTTTCCACTGACTGAAAATCATCCTCCCGCACAGCTGAGTGGACAGGCTCAAGCAAAAATATATATTTTTCTTAGAAAAAAAATATTTAAAAAAAAAATTTCGTATAGTTTTTCTCTTTGTTTCAATAATTTTGATGTTCAGTTATTTTCTAGAGAAAATATAAGAACGAATAACATTTGAGATGCTTCAAATCCGCTATATGCTTCAACAATGCCGAATCACTAATTCGGTTGTCAAAATAAATAAAATAAATAAAAATTAATAAAAAATTTTATTATTCTAGCCTAAATAACATTAATATTATACTAATGTTATAACATTAAAGTGAAATATTCAGTATCAGAGAAGCCTGTATTAAACTGTTTTCCATGTTGTACCGGTCAATTACAATTTAATTAATTTAATCAAATAATTTATGCGCAGGACAGGCGTTTACAAGTTCGTATTCGCAACAGCACTGAACATGCCCACATTACCATACTCAGTTGAAAGGTGAAATAACTCAAACTCCTTGTGAGAATGGAGATGTCTGCTTATTTAAGCCAGTCTGTAAAATAAAATTCCATGCGAGATTACTGCGCAGCAGCTGGATCTAATCTGTCTGATGAAACGAGACAATTTCCATGGCTCATGTGCTAATAATGAGACTGTCTCCACTCCGTGCAGGGGATCATATTTGTCTAATTAGATTTACACTCAAATGTCTAAATTAAGTTTTTCTGTTTTAAAGAGCATTTACTCATTTTGAACCTTGTATTAAGCAATAGTAATCTGAATGGTAATTTTTGCGGAAAAACGCTTTAAAACACACAAACGCACACCTTTATTTGTTGTCATTCTTTCTTGCTTTGAATATATCACACACCGTTTAATCAGTTATCAGTTTAAATTATGTAATAAATAAATAAATGAATAAATAAATAAAAATAAATAAATAAATAAATAAAAACCAGCATTAATTTGCTCCCTCATGTTGGGTACAGTGCGTACTGCAGGCCCCACTGCACATATACAGACCCATGTCACAGACACATTTTTTTACTAAATAACCTAGACTATACTATAAAGTAAGACCTTGCCTCTTCAGAAAGAATTTGGAGAGATGAGGTTCCCGCGTCAGTACAGGTGCACACACGCAGCAGCAGAGGCGCACTCAACTCACACGGGAGAAAACTGTACTAGTTAACATAAAGACTAGCAGCCTAATTCATTACATGATTTGGTAAACTAATTCTTTGAATACAACTCTCTTGAGCTCTAAAAGGAAAAAAAATGCAAAAAAAAAAAACGTGCTGTTAAATTAATATTAGCAGAGACGCAACTGCCAGTCATTTGTACATCAGGTTTTTTTTTCATATTGGAGTAGCCTAATAAAATGTTTAGTGGGACACTGCACATTATCACAGTAAGCTACACTATAATTAATATTTAAATGTATTATATTCATTATTATTAACATTATTAAAATTAAACTTAAATTGACATAACGCAGAACCCTTTTAAATGTTTGCTTTCATTTTGACATAGCTAAAGCGCATTAACAGTTGTGAAAGAAACATCCCATTATGCAGCAACAGTCAAGTTAGGGCACTTAAAAATGCCTTTTGCGTTTAAATGGAACATACGAAAATATATTTTAGGCCTATTTTAACAGCTAAAATACAGTTATCATATCGATATTGTTTTGATAGCTCATGGCCCTAAATAAAGAAAATGTAACCTGAAAACAAGCTATTACAATAGGCTTAGCAAATAAATAAAATCAAAAAATAAAACATAATGGTTTATGATGGCGTTTTTACAAATGCCAACCGGACAATATCAAGAAAAGAAACCACACTTATTATAGCCTAACATAAATCTTTACTTTTACCTTTAAAACTATGAAAAAAAAGTTATATACTCAGGTGAGTTACCTGCGTGTTATGTATGACAAAATTTAACCAATTCTCACGGTAATAACTAAATGTATCTTTTTTTAGGTATTTTTCTGGCTAATGCCTTAAATGTAACTAAGTAACACAAATAGCTACCGTTTTTTTATTTTTTTAAATGACATTTATATTGGTTGGGTAAGGCTACGTGAAGCGTGATGACTTCCCAGCTAACATAAGACCAGCGGGCCACTGGCGGCCCGCCGGCGGCAAAGTCGGCGGTCCACCGGCAGGCGCCGTCCGCGGTCCACCGGCAATTTCCTCATCGTTATTCCAGCGGCCCACCAGCGGCTGCCGCCGCTTTTCCGACGGTGGTCCGCCATCGGATCGCTGGTTTTAAATAAGTGTTAGCTGGCGGCCCACGGTCGGTCCACAGGTCATTTTTAAATATTGTTTTAGCCTGTACAATTGCATTTAATATTAATTTGTCCAATAATTAAATCAAGTACAAAATACTTAATCATTATAAAATTTATTCATAATACTACATAACGAGCATACGTTAAACACTTAGATTATGGTGAATTGTTTCAAAAACACATACGTTAACAAATATAACAAAATAAATATAAAATGCATATAAACTACATAAAATTACGCTTTACAGTAGTTTCATTAGTTAATGTTAAAGGGTTAAATATGAACTAAGTATCACCAATACTTGTACAGCATAATTAATGTACAGCATTTACTAATGCATTAATAAAATCCAAACTCATGCTTGTTAACTTTAGCTTATAAATTGTGAATTAAAATGAAAAAACAATGAACAACTTTTTTACCATTTACCAACATTAGCAAAGATGAATAAATACTGTAATAAATGCATTGGTTACGTTAGTAAATACATTAACATTAACTAATACATACAACCTTATTGAAAAGTGTTACCCATACAACAATAAGTTTGTCTATAATAAAAAGACAAACTTTGAGACTTATCATTATATATAAAAATAAACTATAAAAAACATTATAACATTATAAATTTTTTTATTATTTATAATTTAACATTATTATAATTATTTATTATAATATATTATAACATTAATATAACATTTAACATTAATATAAATAACATAAAAAATAATTACATTGTGAATAAATATTAACATATTACAATAAATGTAAACATTATTATTACAAAATCAAACTGTAAAATATCTGGAAGTTATTAAGAACTACACTGGGGCAGCACAGTGGCTCAGACTGTCACCTCACAGCAAAAAGGTTGGTGGTTCAAGTCCCGGTTGGGTCAGTTGGCATTACTGTGTGGAGTTTGCATGTTCTCCCTGTTTTGGTGTGGGTCTCCACCACAGTCCAAACACATGCGCTATACTGTGTAGGTGAATTTGAACATTGTGTAGAAGTGTCTGTGAATGCGAGAGTGTATGGGTGTTTCACAGTGCTGGGTTGCAGCTGAGAGGCCATTTGCTGTGTAAAACATATGCCAAAGTAATATCCAGATTCTTCCGCTGTGGCGACCCCTGATATTAAGCTGAAGGAAAATGCAGTTTCTTTTGTCTGCCCCCTCATGATTAGCAGATCCTAATAAAAATGTCTTGGAGGCTCCCTTCCGCTGTCTCTCTTGTAGCAGGCTTCTTTCTTATCCTGAAATAACAGAATCATCAATCATCATTTTTGTCCATCATCAGTAACTAGGTCACTATAAACAATAATGTTTGTATTTTTATTGTCTTTTATTGGACATCAAGACTGAATTGATTTGATTGATTAAATTAATTTACAGTTAAGTAACACTAAAATATGTTTACAGTTTAAAATAATAATTTTCAATGTCAATACATTTTAAAATGTATTTGGTAACATTTTATTTTGATGGTCCATCTGAGTATTAGTAGACTGTCTGCTTAATATCTGCTGATACTGCTCCTTCAACAGACATTAAACTGACAAGAAAAAAACTTTGCAACTACATGTCAACTTACACTAACCCAACCTAACCACAACCCTAACCTAACAGACAACTTATAATCTAATAAGAATTAGTTGGCATGTAAATGCAGTATAACTTAAACTCAACAAACGGACCCGCAAAATAAAGTGTGACCATGCAATTTATTAATGTGAGGTCAAAGCTGATTTGTCAGCATTATTACTCCAGTGTCAGAGGACTCTTCAAAAATCATTCTAATAGGATAATTTCCTGCAGGTTATTAATATTAACATTAATATATATTACTAACAGATCTGCACAAAACACCACAGTCCTTAGCAAATATTTAATGGTGCATGCTGTTTATGTGCAAATTAAGCTTACATGAGTTTTTAAAATAACATGTAAAGTGAAACCTCTAATAAGATTGTAAAGCAATTTGGGTCCACATTACTTTATAGTGCTACATAAATGCTTATAGTATACATTTATTTGCAGCTAAGAATGTCTAAATCATCTTACAGATATGAATGGCAATGATCTGTTTGCAAACATTTAAAATAAGAAATGAAAAACGTCAAAGTGTCAGTCTATTGTAATATCATTTACTACTTCTGATGGATATTTACTTATTGAAGGATATTTGCAGAACAACTGTAAAGAGTCAGTAAAAAAATTGACAAATCAACATGTCAAAATTGAAACAGTGGCACAGGATTGCAGCCAGGTTCGTAACTTATTCTGTTGTGCTCTGCACTATTTGTATTGTATTGGTATTTTAGAGCTTTTGTGTTTGCAGTGCAATTTAACCACAGTTAAATTCAGAAGTGATCTGGTTGAGGAGAGTTAATGCATGGAATTTTTAACATGGACATCTAGTGCATAAAGGGAACATATCTCAAAGCATTATGAATATTTCAAAATAAATACATTTTGAATTGAAATCTACATCAATTTCCAGATCTTTGTTTTAAAGAACTGCCACTCTGACACACACTGTCATTTGCTCATTACTGTCTGTCAGTCAGTCAAAACTTTACTTACATATAAATATGTTCAGCAGCTGATTGGCTCTAGAACCATTGGGCCCCTTTTAAGATGCTGTTGAAAACAAAAGAAAAAGAGAAAAAAGACATGACATAAATAAATATGAGTTGTTCATCATGCATGTACCAAAAAAATTATATTAATTTTTGGGCTTAAGAATGAGTTTAAGTGTAAGGGACCTAAAAATATATATTTTAAATGTGAATCCTAAAATGTAATTCATGGCTGTAATTTAAAGCTGAATTTTCAGCAACATTATTTAAATCTTATGTCACTTTATCCTTCAGAAATCATTCTAAGATGTTGATTTAGCATTTAAGACTGAACTAATATGTTGATTATCAAATGGTGCTGATTTGCTGTTTAAGAAACATTTCTGATTATTATGAATGTTAAAAACAGATGTGATGGCAAATACTTGTGTAAGCTATTTTCTTTTTTTTCCAGGATGTATTGTTTATTGTTGAATAGACCCTAGACCTTAAACGGTCATGTATACTACTGCAGTCAGTGAGATTTTTTAAGAAATGCATACTTATTAAACAAGGATGCATAAAACTGATCAGAAAAGAGTTAACATTTTTGATTCAAATACTGTTCAATTTAAACTTTCTATTCATTAATGAATTCTGAAATAACAAAACATAATAAAAATAAGAAATATTGCTTGATCAGCAGCAAATTATAAATACAATATTACATTTTGGACTGGAGCACTGGTGCTGTAAATTCAGCTTTGAGAAAAGCAAAGTAAAAATTTGTTTAAAACCACTCATTTACGTTTGCATGTCAAAACCTTAAAATAACTGCAATCAAGACATGTATCAGATGCATGATAATATAGGGATTTATTATGAAAAATGCAAATGAATCTATTTAACAATTAATTATGGTCTTACCTGTGTTTCCTCCATCTCTGTGATCAGCTCCCTTCATCTTGGCTCTTCTATTTTGTTGTAGGGGCAATTTTGTCACTCCTGAAACAACAGAGCACTTTTTGAAATCAATATTAGTTTACATTACTGTGAAATATCAAAGTAAGTTAACACATGTGTACTAACTTTAACGTTTTAATTTGCTCTCCTTGACAGTAAAGTGCATATTTTAGGATAAATAAAGTAGACTACCTCCAATAAAACATTGACAAACCTCTCATGTACACATAAAGATGTAATTAAATGCCAAAACTTGAATAAACAAGAGCTAGTAGCCTAATGCTAACGTTTCCTCTGCTAAGATGCTAACGGACTTTTTCCAAAGACACAACCGTCTCTATAAAATACATATTCAACTGAAACATGTCAATTGTCAGTAAGAAAGGTGTCGGAAACAGTTGTATGTAACATTTGCATGATTTTAGCGACTTAACTTACCTGAAATTAGTGAAAACTGCCGCATGAGAGAAGTGCTGTTGACGGTCAGGGGTCGTGTCGTGTCGTGTCGTTGCTCCATTTCCATGACAACGCTCTCTGCTGCAGTGCTGGAATAAGGCTCGGTAATGCACACTTTAAAGTAATGCAGCCTGAACGCAGCATTTACATAAACATTTAAACAATTTAAAAACAATTTAAATAATGGCATTTAATTTTAAATCTTGATTTTTAAACGTATTTTTTTGTGTTATGCTGATTTCACTATACCGGTATAGAATATAGTCTAACCGGGTTAGCTTGCATGTGTGGGCATAGTTTGATGTCTTTACTTAAAACTTTTAACACTTATTATTTGAAATAAAACGAAAATAAATAAGGAGAATAAAATAATGTAAAGCACTTGTTTGGCGCTGAAAGATCTGTCTCATTTATATAAACAGCATCGTTGCACTACCTAATTCATTGATGTAATAATGAAACTGTGCGTATTATTATTACTATAAAAGTATATTATACTGCCTTAAGTCAGTAACTTGGGCAGCAATGCAAAGTAATAACAAATAAGTGAACAAATAGCCTAAATGAAAGGAACAGGAGGGTCCAAAATCAGTCATAAGGTCTGCCCTATTAAAATGCCCCTGGCGCAGGGCCTGTCAGGGATGGCATTGTGGAGTTTTGCTATAACGCACATCAAACGCACCCAAACAAGCTAACCAACGTATTCAAGACCACTAAAGCTGGCAGGAGCTTGATGGGCTGGAGCTAAAATCTGCATTAGCCCTCCAACTGATGTTGCCCATCCAGCCCTAATAGTATTAAGTCAGTTTGCGTTTGCATAGACCTGCTATGTCAATGTAACGTCAATGTAACTTTACATTTTATTCATTATTTTAATTTATATTTTGCTAATTAATACTTAACTGTAAAAATGTTATTGAATCTACTTAAACTATTTACGTTCAATATGTCTGTTACAATGTTTAATATGTGTTAGTTGAGAAAGTTATTGTTGTGCTCCGGCTCCTTTAAGGGAGGCGCACTGGAAAGCAGGAGAGAGAGGGAAAAAAGGAAGTGGAGGAATTCGGCAGATGCAATGCTGTTGTAATGTTGTTTGTGAATGTTATGTCGATGCTCCAGATTAAATAAAAGAAACGAATTATCACCCTGGTATCCAGCGTTTATTTGCGATGCCCACGTTGAAGAGAATGGTCTGTAAACAGCCAGAAATAAGGGTTACAACAACATGCCCGGTCACTTTTGCCAAGGCACTTCCAAAAATACATTTCTGCTGATGCCATCTATCTAAAATGAACATTAACAAGCATAAAGACGTGGAATCTATCTATGTTAAAAGGTACTTTGTAATAAAGCATTTGCTATCAGTTCAGAGTGCCACGATCAGTGGTGAATTAGTCTTGTCTGGTTCTGTTCATCGTTGATTGGGTGAGAGCAGCTCAAGCTTACTGGCTGTGGAAATCAGCGGGAGTGGCTCATTATACTTCAGGAAAGCGCCGTTCATAACGCGCGTTTCAGTGGGGTTAAAACGGCGTTTTAAACGGCGTTTTGTGGCAAGCGGAATGCGTCATAAGCCGCGCTTTTTACTAACACTAAAACGGCGTTAAAAACGGCGTTTTTTACAGGTTTACGCGCGTTATTTGCGGCGTTTGCAACCAGAACGGCGTTTTTAGCGGCGTTTGAAATGGTATTAGCGCCGTTTAATGCGGCGTTTTAATTGTAAACGCGATTGATTAATAGTGTATTTACGATACCTTCGGCTTGCCATATCCCGCCACTTCTACCTGGCTCCCGCGCGCGGCAATTGAGACTTTTCCAGCACGCGACCGGTCCTTTCTGCGACAGCTGCATGCTAACGGCTCACTCGCACCTCAGGCTCTCCACATGGAGGTCACACTCGAGAGGAACATTTCATCACTATTTTAAACCAATTAATACCTCCGTGGACGCTTCGACCAATGGCTGATGGACAAGGTCGGTCTACAATTACGCATTTGGCAAATGGACCGAGTTCGCACGGTTATATTTGTGCAAAATTAGCGCCTCGGTACTTATTGTTTGCCTGGCATTCATGCTCTTGCTGAATTCATAGGCTAATACAATACTATTTCAGAGCACACGTGTCACTCACATCAAATCTGCTGCAAATAAATCCTCCCGCGTATCAGTTTGTCGGGGGCTGAAAGGGCTTGCAAATAGTTACTTTTGACGTGATTTACATGACAATGGTACTTCAGTCTGAAAAGCATAACAGGTAACTTAAGTCTGCATATCCACATGCAGACACGAGGGCAGTCTTGGAAAACTTACATCCCTCATAAAAATGCAGTCATTTATTGTAAATTCTATAGTGTTTTTGTACCATATACAGTGTTTAAAATTAATCTGTTGTGGTAATTCTATAGTTGCAGTGGTAATATAACAAATTACCCAAATACCGCACTAGTTTTCAACAATTAAACTAATCCATCAGTTTACTACAATTATTAGTACAGTTTATGAGTTTACTAGTTTATACAGTGCTGTGGCATTTATGAGCAAAGTGATGTAAATAATAGATAGCCTACACTTTACTGGTTCATAGTGGTTCATAAACACTATAATATTTACTATAAATTACTTTAGTATTTTTTTAATGTGGGACCACACATATATGGCCTACTATACCAAACGTTTACCTTATAACTTAAAGGAAAAAAGCACAACAACCTAAATATTATTCCTATGGTAAAATTAGTTATGGGCGAGGCAGTGGCGCAGTAGGTAGTGCTGTCGCCTCACAGCAAGAAGGTCGCTGGGTCGAACCTCGGCTCAGTTGGCGTTTCTATGTGGAGTTTGGATGTTCTCCCTGCCTTCGCGTGGGTTTCCTCCAGGTGCTCCGGTTTCCCCCACAGTCCAAAGACATGCGGTACAGGTGAATTGGATAGGCTAAATTGTCCGTAGTGTATGAGTGTGTGTGTGAATGTTTCCCAGAGATGGGTTGCAGCTGGAAGGGCATCCACTGCGGAAAAACTTGCTGGATAAGTTGGCGGTTCATTCCGTTGTGGTGACCCTGAATTAATAAAGGGACTAAGCCGACAAAAAAATGAATGAATGAATAAAATTAGTTGTTCAACATCTTTGTGCCAAATTACTCCTCATGAAAATTAAACATGGTTTTGCTACAAAAATCAAAACAAAACAAAAGCTTTCTTAAATGATGGTAATAAATCAACCAACGTTTTACTGCACCAACCATGGTTTTTGAAACTGTAGACACAAATTTCTTAAGGATCCTCATAAGTAGAAGTCCTTAAGGTCCCTTAGTTTGGACAAGTTTTCCACAATCCTGGGGATTTTTATTAATGTGCTATTTTAACCACATACCTATTTTGTCTATTAAATATTTTTTTTATGTAAATCTTTAGAGTTGCTGCTATGTCCAGTAACCATAAATAACTGGAAGAGTCATTCATTCATAAGTCATTCACAATTGCACATTCATTGTGGGAACTCTGTTTAAAAAGCTGTCTTAGCCCTCATACTTGCTAAAAGTCTGCTGAAATCAATCTCTCTGAATTTCCGTAACCTATATAACCATCTATTTGTTTTCATTACTAATGTGTAGTTTCTTATTCTTGGCCTTTTAAAATTAAGACTTTACCCATACTGACTTATTTCCTTTTTCTAGTCTTTTCAACTAATGTGAAAGTCTGATTTTACTTTAACAATACTTTCTGTTTTTTTTTTCTAAAATTGAATTGAGATATATTGAGCATGTATTTTGTTCACAGACTTTAAAGTAACAATCTTCCTTCATTTAATTGATCCTCCTTTCCTCATGCTCATTTTGAGCTCTCGTTCAGGTGGTAAATATGATCTTCCACAATCAAAGCCCAGAAGTCAGAAGGGAACCAGTAATGGCGCCTTGTTAAAAGGTGTTTATCTTTATCCCTAAAATACAATCAAATGGAAAAGTGCTTCCTTCCAAACAGAGCCATGCTTTAAATTAATGGCTTTCGGATCTTCCAAGGCTCAAGCAGCTGCGCAAGTGTATCCCTGCCAGGTAGATGATCACTTCCTGTCAAAGTTTGATGTTTTCTTACAAAGTGACTTTTTCATTTGTGGTGAGATTTTTTTTATTAACTCAAAGCTGTAGCAAAAAGCAGGAAACCCCTGCAAAACATATGGGATTAGCTTCTGGCACAAGTTTATATAGTTACCAAGCAACAGGAACTTAAGCCAGACAAAAGTCAGTGTTAATATTTAAAAATCATAAACTCGATTCTACAAATATATATTAGGACAAACCAATATATGCCAACAACATTTAGAATTTAACTGAATATAAATTACATCCTCACATGATAACTAAAGTTTGTGCCTAGCTGATAATAAACAGCCGAAATCTCCCTCACACTTGCAGACAGTAAATAACTACCTAGCTCTTATATTAATGCCCTAAAATCCAGCCAGAACACTTCAGCAATCTAATAACAACCCCCTGGCAACCACGCACATGGTGAAGATGTGTGCAAGAGCAATCACTACTTAGAAAACTACAAAAGTCACTTAGTGCTATGAAAATAAACAGTGCATAGTTCTAAATATGGTCTATACATTATTATGTCTTGACAGGTCAAACAAATTTAATTACTGTAAATGGAGTGTATCAGCCTTCTTTGCTCTTTTACAATGTTATTAAAGCTGGTTGTAAACAGGATTTCCAATTCCATCATATACTGAAAGCCTGCCTGTTTGGTTTCAGGTAGTTAAACACGACCAAGGGACCCTAAGTAGATCCTAAAACCTCTAATCCTGCAACCTCTGATGGGTAAAGGCTCATTACAAATGTTCTATGTAATAACAGAGGCTTTAGTGCCACCCCCGTTCATGTTTCAAAGCCTTCCCAATCAGGAAGGAATCTCTTACAACAGTCTTCCAGGCAAACCTTATGCTTTCCTCCAGTCTAGGAATCAGCTAAAGGAGAAAAGTGTAATGATAAGGAGTAGGGGTGTCAAAATTAATTGTTTCTTTGATGCATCGTGATTAGGAAGAGGACAATTCGTTATCAGTTTAGTAACCGACCATAACCTTTTACGATGTACTTACCGTTTTCTCATGACATTTATCACTTTAACATACTATGGCAAGGGAGGCTAGACATGTATGCGAGTAATTTAAAATGCTCCAACTACTTTAAAAGCCTAAATCTGGGCACATTTTGCTGGTTGTGAGTGTGCTGGGACAGTCTTCAACTGGCATTGAAGATACAGTCAAACCCTTATGTCACTGCTAAGCGCACACTGTAAAAAGGTCCACCTGTCCCAGTCACAGTGCAGTAAAACAATGCTGAACATGTTATCACTTATTTGATACATTCAAAAAGCATATATTTAACTACTGGTATGAGATAATTGTACACGTGAGGTAAAATTGAAAATTGAGGATGCAGTGCATAGTAAATCATCATGATATTAAACTGATGATATTATAATCGTAAGAGAATAAGGAGATGGAAGGATTTGACTATTAATTAAAATAGTTTTTGACATCATTCAAAATATGGGTCGTGCTTATATAAGATGCTATCTGATGCAAGGGTGTTGATGGCTAATAGTTGACTAAATGGTCCAAATCTAAAGAACCCATTCCCAAGTCTATAAGAGGTGAAAGTTATATCACTTTAATCACAACTTTTTAAAACACTAGGCATCATATACAAAAAATTGGACAATATTACACTTAACAACTGCCTACATTGAAGAAACAAATCTACACTTTTCATCCTGTGTTTTTAGGTTGTGCCTGTAAGAGCTAATATTGTCTAACCAGAAGCAAGCAGTATGCATCAAATGTATGGGCATCATCGTTTATAATACATTTTATTGTATTTATTACATCCAGTTTAGACACCAGGTTTTCATGCAAACTCACTTTTCATGGCAAACTCAAGCAAAAGCTTGACTTGTATTTAGGATACTCTTGGCTGATGAAAACAAACATCAATGTACATGAGCTGATTGCAGGTACATGTTAAAATGCCCCTGTTTTGTGTTGCGAGAAAGTAAGCCAAGTGATGTGGACATATAAAGATTGCAGTGGGAGTTTAAGGTAAGTGACATAAGTTAATAAGGCATGTTATACACTACAATATGTTCTAAAATATATATCGTCCAACTGGATGGAATTATTGTCTGAAGCTAGAAAAAAAAGGGGGGAGCGTGTGCCCATCATAAACTATGTGATTCTGCTGTAGACTGGCTTTGAATTTTGGCAAGTAGCGTTGATTCTTCCAGCCTGCAAATCAAAGCAAAAATTTGGGCAAACTTTTGCAGTGTATTCTAGTGTTCGAAATATAACAGTACACATCTCCTTGACAAGCTGCAAGATTTGAGGAACCACTCATCTCTGCTACATAAACAGTTTCATGCCAGTGTTGAATATTTGGGGTTAGTGGTTTGAAACAGACAATAGAGAAGAACAAACACCACTAACTATGTATTTGCTGTTATTTTGGTCATTTAAATGTTTTATGGTCATATAATTTATTTATTTTTTTGAAAAGACAAGCCTTATAGCTTTATATTATGAAGTATATTTCATAATAGTAGTTATTATATGAAGTATACAGTTACTGCATTTTGGTGTTTAGACTGAGGACAAAGAGGAGAAGAAGTTGGTCGACTTGGGCAGAATAGGACATTTGAAGGAGACCGGCTCAGCCACATGCCCATCTCAAGGGGCTGTCCTACATGATACTCCAGCAACCACTTGTAATAAGCCACACTCTCTGATTTGATAAGACCACTCTGTTAAGATTCTTCAGGGCTTCCTTCCATCTGCTTTTCTGGTGCTCTCCAACTAGCTTTAGAGTTGGCTTACTGCCTGGGCATTTCCGCATGCCTTCCTGTCCAGCCTGGTCTGCTGTTGCTGCTTGGGATTGCCACCCCCGATCATGCCTGTCTCCTGGATCCTGCTGTTTCACTGCTCCACAACTGTAGTTGGACTTGTCCCTCTTTCCTCTCCTCCCAAAAACATCCTCCCGCAGGGAACGTGGTTCCTCTTCGCATGCCTTTTCAGCGTCTGCGCCCTCTGTGATCCTCTATCCTGGAGGGAAGCTACTGGCAATAAATTCTGTCTTCACACCCATTTTGACAAATGTACCGTCACCTCCAGGTGATAAAAATAAATCCATAGGAGGCACAATATTCCATACTGTAATACTCCAATGTAAGAGTTGCCATATATTAAAGAGCAGATGTACGATAAAATAGGAATTCCTGCTCCATGGTACATCATGGTAGGCTTGTTACTCTATTGCCATTGGTTAGAAAACCCACAAATAAATAGCCCACAAATTAGACCCAGGGATTAAAGGAACAGAAATAAAAAAGATATTCAAGGCTTGTATTAAATGGGTTTATAGTGACAAAAATGTTGTGTATTGGGAAACCATTACTTTAAAGTTTCAGTCAATGTTGCTATGTTGAGCAGTCACAACTGGTAACTATGACTTCCATCGTATTCACTTTATTATAAGTGGCTTTGGTTACAAGTCTTCCACTCAGAACATGAATGTAAATGCAAATATAGTCTGTGATGTGGACTCGTTTAGAAGCGGGTGGGCTTGTGGGCTATGGGAGTCATAACCAGGATGTGGTCTAATGTGACAGGTCTATGCTTTTGTGTAAGTCTCGGTCTCTGATGTTTGCTCTCACTTTCCAGCCACATGTGGTAAAGATGTAATCCCAGAGGCCTGGAAATGATCTGATCTGAAGACTGAACA